TGTAATTTTGAATTTTTGAAAATAATAATAAATAAAAGTGAAAATTTAAAAAAAAATTAAAAAATTGGCAATTATGTATGGTGTAATGGGAAATTCTATAATTATATTAGTAAATGTGGTAAACAAGATTAAACTGTGACTTTGAATGCAAATACATTTTAATCGTCATAAAATTAATCCAGTTTGCCATAGATAGAAGAATAAAATCAAGTATCTACGAACTTTCGATCTCGTATTTCTAGTGTAACTATTATAGCTAATGAGTTCTTATCATGAATGAAATAGATGTATGTATATAGAGCAAAGCATAGTTTATTTGAAGAAAATATTTAATTTCATTTTGTTGTTTATGTAACATACTTCACATTTTGCAACTAAAATTAACCATCTTTTAATGTATAATTCATAGAGCAGTTTAAACTACTGTCATTTCTAAATCTAAATACCCATTATATTTCCATAAAGGGGTAGAAAACAATGGACAACTAAATTTTCATTCCTTTTAATCAAGATTTATAGAATGAAAAAAAATATCTTTACAGTACAATATGAACAAAATGTTTCACAATAAATTTTTTAATGAATACTCCTAAGAATTAAAATAATTTATCTGAATTAACATATTATGCAGCAAAGTTCAAAGGACAATAATCAAACTCTTTATTCCTCCAATTTATGAAAAAAGTATTCTTCATGATGACTTACAATGATGTTTTCATGATGAAATGAATTAAAAAATCGATCCACCAATAATTACATCACAGATATTCACCAATATTCACCGTGTTTTTTTATCACGGCCGATTGACATCCTGCGATCAACACAAGGTGCGCGAAACCAAAAGCGATGATGTCGGCTCGAGCACCGCGACGAGACTGAACACCGCTTCGAATCACCTCAACGGCTTCGCGCTGTTACCTAACTTCACCGAGCAAGAACCGAATCTCCTAAGTCCGGCTTATCGTCTTGCTTTTTTTTTTTAATAATCACAACGAAAGAAAAAAACAAGGGGGAAAGAATTGGTACGGTGGCTTGGTTTCGTTGAAAAATAGGAAGCCTCTTCGATCAGGTTGTTGTTACGTCAGGTGGTTATGAATGAGTTGTGTAAGCTTGATAATTGGGTAGTCGTGTCGATGAAATTTTTAATGTATCTTTCTCCGATGATTATGCAAAAGAAGGGAAAATATATAAATGGTATAAATGTAAATGATTCTTTTATATTGTTGGTTATTTGTTACTTGCTATGTTTCACTTCTTCATTTTTGATTACTGCTCATTATTGTTTATTGTTGTTCGTTACTCGTTATTGGAATATTACTGTTCACCACTCAATTCGCCACTTACTATTCGTTATTTATTTGTTTATTACTCGTAACTACTCACTAGCTATTTACGCTTTGCTTATCTACTCACTACGCGATACCCAGAATGAACTACTCACACTTCAGTTACTGCATACTAACTACTCAGTTGCTACTCTCAACTTATTACTTACCATTCAGTTGCTAGCTTTTAACATAACTAACTATCTATTCATCACTTAATTGCTACTTTTAACTACTACTCACTACTCACTATTGAGTGTGTTATCCCCATTTTTTTTTTTTTTACTTATTTCTCGTTACTCCACTCAGTACTCACTGCTCACAGTATCCAGTTTCATACTTACTACTTATCATTTACTCTCTATTTCTTACTACTTTCTACTACTCACTAAATTTCAGAAAGTATATTAGAAAACGAGTATTAACTATTCATAATTTCTCTAATGTTTTCCTGTTTTCCTTAAGAATAAATGTTTCAAGAATTCTTTGATTATCTAGATACCATTCAATTAAAAGATTCATATCTCTACTGTTCTCTGCAAAACTTCACCACACTCGCCTAACTGCAACCTACTCTTTAAGGAACACACAATATAACGCGTCAATCAACAAAAACCAGCACCATTTAACGAACCAAACGCCAATATTGGACGTACGAATGGACGCATGTACACCCCTAATCCGCATACCGCGGTCTTGCATCCCATAAACGCCTTCTCAATTATGTACATTCACAATATCCGCGTTTCTAACCTCAGAATTCCCTACGAATCGGCTCATTCGCGTATCCGGCTTTTGCTATCGCGAACTAGTCTCACATCCGCAACAGTTTCGCAAATCGAGCGATCAGTAAATTCTTGTGTGTGTGTTTTTGCAACGTTCCCGGTTCAATGAAAATGAAATCATGTTCGAATATTTCTCAATCTCTTAGAATCTGCTTGGTGATAATCTCAATCGGTGTGTTTTACGCAATTTACATAATGCTCTCTGCAATATCGACCGAGCATGCGGATAAACGATGGTAAAGTGACTGGCTGTACCTTGGAGAATTTCCAGTTGCGAAATTTTCGTCGTCTTTCGACCTCCGTAAGGTCGATTCCTTAGAGAGAGAGAGAGAGAGAGAGAGAGAGAGAGAAGTGTTGGAACGCGCGCTTTCGACGCCTCGAACTGTTGCATAATTCTGGAAAGAACGGGATTCGGTTAACGGGAAACACATAATACTTTCAACGTCCACGGTATGTCCTCTCGCATGAATGTCTGTATAAAATGGCATCTTTGTGGGAAAGAGGGATTTGCGACCTTTGACCCTGTTAAACGAGCCGGATAAGTTGTCTCGTTATTCGATGCGGTTTGTTCGGGATTTTAACGCTTTTGACATTAAAGGAAGAAGATTTATGTATTTTCATGGTGGATTTACCGAAAATTG